AAGGGGCTCTGAGGATGGGCTTGCACTGCTTGGGGCACCTCGCCCTCGGGGCCCCGTCTCTCAGGGCCCCGTCCTTGCGCCACCGCCCTCGGAGCGAGGCTTCGCGCGCCGCTCGCCGTGGCCCTCGTCGGGGGCCCTCGCCGGGCCCCCGGGGGGGCCCGGAGGAGGAGGGGCTCGGTTGTTCAATGTGGGGTCCTGCAGGGTGGGGTCCTCAGGGCGAGGGGCCTCAAGCAATGTGAATCCGCCATTGGATCCAGCTGCCTGTCCTTAGGACCTCATCCTGAGCTCGGTGGTTCCAAGGTGGGGTCCTGAAGGATGGGGTCCTCAGACGACGTGCCTCAAACAATGTAAACCCACCCTTAGATCTCTGCCCATCCTCAGGACCCCATCTTTGAACCACAGAGAAGCGACGTCGGGGGGGAAGACGCGGCCGAAAGGTCAACTTTCGGGGCTTGGCGCGGAGTTCTTGGATCGGCGCTGGGCCCCCAAGTGGAGCCCGATTTTCTCCACGCCGACGTCGCAGAGGGATCGCCGACGTCGCCGATGCACCGCCGATGCATCGACGATTCGGCGGGATCCTCCGATCCCCACAGAAGACTGCCCGGGGTGCGGAGCCGGTTCCGGGGCCACGGGGGCGCGGGGCGGGACTCCCGGGCGGGGGCCCGCAGCGGTTCGGCCCCAGACACCTGGCGCCCCATCGTTTTCGAGGCACGGGCTCCCGACCTCTGGACCACCGCTCCCTGGGACCACTCCGTCTTCATCCTCCCGGGCCACTTTTTGGCCGCCCCGGGGCCCGGCGAGGGCCCCCACATGAGGCCGAGAAGGATGGAAAGCAAGCCTCCGTCCCGATTTTTTCGAGGCGCCGGGTGTCTGGAGCCCAGAGATCCGATGTCGTGATTTTTTCAGTGCGCGGTCCCCGGCAGTCTCGACCCCTTATTCAGGACCGGCTTGTCATCCCGAGTCGTTTTTTGACGGGCTCGAAGTGCGAACAACTTCCGTATTGATTTTTTCAATGCGTTGGATCCCTGTGAGTGGTCCCAGCGAGACGGTGGGCGCCTTGGAGGAGGCCGCCGCCGCGGCGGGCGCGGGCTTGGGCGCGCTCGCTCCGTGGTTCCTCGGCGCGCGCGGGCACACCTCGGCGCGTTCGGGCGCCTTTGGGCTCCGGTTTTGGGCACCCTGGATCAGAGTTTGGGGCACAGTTTCCCAGGGAGGAGGAAAAGGTACCCATACCGCTACCGCTACCCTCCCGCGTTTTCGCCTTGGTGGCGCTCCTGGGAGGCCTTCGTCGCCACCGCTGGATTCGCTCCGAAATCCTGGTCAGAACGCATCCTGGGAGAAGTCTGGGGAGTAGTAGTATCGCTACCTTTTGGTCTCCCCAGCTTCGGTCATTCACTACACCCCCCTGATAGAGTCGAGACTGCCTGACGTTTCGGGCACCCGGACCATCACAGATCGGTCCGTCTCGAAGCATGCCGCAGCGGGATGGGTTCTTCTACGGTCAACCCGCACAGTGAGGATGAGCAACCCTTGCATCCTTCTCGTTCGGCCCGTCCTTGGCCGCTTTCGCTGGCCGTGCCCCGCTCGAAAAGTGTCGCCATGGCCTTCACGGCCCTTGCATCCTTTTCGTGCGTCCGTCTTATATGGGTTGACTGGGCTCCAGTCGTGTTTCTTCGTGGTGTTGTATACGTGCGCCACGTCGGATCTCTTGTCGTGCGGCGGTGTCGTCGTGTCTGGAGCGGTTTCTCGCCGCCACGACTGGGCGCAGCTCGGCCAACTGGCGAGGACGGGCGAGGGGCCCCGGGGCTGGTTTTGAGCAGGTGGTCGGCGGCGGCCGGTGTTGACGGTGCGGGGGCCCTCGCAGAAGGCAGTAGGGGATCGACTGCAGAATTGATTCACCCCAAAATCGTTTTCCCGTCGAATTTACGAACAACGGATATAAAGCTCCTCGGATCTACGGAGGTTTCTGTGCATGTTTGCACAGATTCGGCGGAGAAATCAAGCCTGGGGGACATCAATTCTGCAGTCGCTCCCCTGCTCGAAGAAGGCCGGGTGCCTCTTCGAAGGGGCCCCAGGCTCAATTTACACCTGCCAGGAAGGCTCCTCTGCTTGGCAGCTGGGGCCTGGGAGATCCGGCGCCGCGGAGAAGGTGCAGCACCGCGGGAGGCCACGGCCGGAGCCCCCCGACGGCCTTACATATGCATCGCCGGGCGGCGCCTCTCGCGGCTCGGGCGATCCGTGAGGGCCCCGGGGCCCGGGGACGGGCGAGAGCGCCCAGCGGTGAAGCCGCAGGGCGCCCGGGTCGCCGGGATCCCAGAGGAGGGCCACCCTCCAGAGGCGCGCCTGCGTCGAGGATCCAAGTGACGACGACGACGACGACGACGACGAGGACGACGAGGACGACGAGGACGACGAGGACGACGACGACGACAACGAGGACGAGGACGAGGACGAGGACGAGCACGACGGAAACGACGACGACGACGATCAGGACGACGACGAGGACGACGACGATGATCAGGACGACGACGAGGACGAGGACGAGGACGACGACGACGACGACGACGACGAGGACGAGGACGAGGACGAGAAGGGAAAGGGGGCGGCGCAGGTGCGCTGCGAAGTCTTATAGCAGACGCTCGGTTCCTGCGCACTGTGGGGAGACGCGCGCGATGGCTGAACTGTATGTTCGGGTCGCACTTCGTGTGTGTGTGTGTGTGTTTGTGTGGCTGTGTGGCTGTGTG